TGAACCCTTTTAATCCAGGATGGTGTCCATCCAGTCCTACCATCGACTACATCTACTAGCACCGTCCCAACAAGAGTCACAACTAAGGTTAACCAAGCCAGAGTCATGTTCTATTAAAGTGGCAAAAAGAATTACTTTTTAATATAGCAAAACTAATTCTATCAACTATTATTATAGGCTAAACAACTATTAATACAAAATAGTAGCAAAATCAATATTAATTAATAAAAAAAAATTATCTACTGTTGTCTAATAGAAGCCTACTACAACATGTTGAAATCTACAGAAAGAACTAACTAAACATAATTGAAAACAACAATTAAAGGACTAAAACAACTATAAGCAAAGCAAAACTGTTTTAATTAAAATCCTAATTTATATTATTCTAAAAATAACCAAATTAATCTTACTGTGACAACAATCTGACATGTGACTAGGAGCAAAAATAGTTACATTAAAAACTATTTTTAAACTCAAATTATTCACAATCTAGTGTTTGAAGCAAATTTGAACAAATTCATATTTAAAACATTCAAAATTGAAAACTAATGGCACAAACAGAAACTAGACAAAATTTTGAATCTAATGCAAAAATATTCACTCAAAAACATTTAATATCCTAAAAGATATAAGCAATTTGAAACAGAGACTAAAAACAAAAAACAAATAGAAAAACAAAAAACAAAAAAAAATCAGAACCCCTTTAGTCCCGGTTTGTAACACGAACCAGGACTAAAGGGAATCGCACCCTTTAGTCCAAGTTCGTGTCTCAAACCGGGACTAAAGGTCCCATTTGAACCGGGACTAATGCCTTCCCGAAGCCCTAGCCGCTCGAACCGGGACTAATGCTCAGATTAGTCCCGGTTCATAACGCAACCGGGACTATTGCTCCGATCCGGCTGTGACGAAAGCCCTGTTTTCTACTCGTGGTCGTTTATTCAATGAAACCCACAGCACCTGGTAGGACCTAACATCCGAGAAGCACCTATGTTTGAAATAAAATTAAAGCAGTACCTTAGTTATCTTTATGCAAAAAAATAGTACAAAGTGTTGGTTCTGTCGTCATGACCAGAATATTGAACATTTAGTTTTTCTAGTAAAAGTTTGCATGTTCTATATGGGCAGTCAACGATGTGACTTTATCCACCTTTGTTGTGTTGCGAATATCTTTGGGAGCTGGTTGCGAAGCATTGATTGCAAGAGTAGCATCCTCATAGGGGTGGGAGTGGTTGCCGTATTAGGGATGGATATGTAGAGTTGTTTCCATATTGTTTCTCGTTTTTTTGCTCTAAGTTTAATTTACCAAATTTTAGTGGGTACCAAATATTATTCATTTCAAAATAAAAAACCATGGGAAAAGCAAAGGTTGACTCTCTCGGTTTTTATAATAAACCAAGTAAATTATCATGAATTTGTCCTCAAGAAAAAATAGTTAACTAACCTTGTCAAGAACAATGGGCAACTCTTTGCTCTCTTGTTCAGCCATGCAATCACTAAGCTCGCTGTCTTTGACACATTCGGATACAATGCCTGTCCACACAGAGTACTTATCATTGAACTGCTTATATTTTAATGCATCTTCCTTTTCTTCTCTTGTTACCATAAGTTTTTGTGTGGATCGTGGTGGTAGGATTCCTCTCGGTGGCTCTGTGTGGTACCATGCCACACTTGTTGTCCTGCTATATGTATTGAAACCAACATTGTAATCCGTAAGGTTCACTATCTTAATTGAGGACAACACCTTCTTGTTTGGCAAAATGGGAAAGTGAAGTTCTGGTGGATCAAATTGGATCAACTCCTCTGAGATAGATGAACTTGTCTGCTGAAAAGAACATAGCATATATATAAGTTAGGAAGGGTAAAATATGCAATTAGAGATCACAACGTGACTTGAGAGCAAGTAGAAAATAAAATATGCAATTAGCAAATGCAATAAAATGGCCGTGTGCATCAATTGGTGCAGTGGACAGCATTTTCCCCCTTTTCAAAACATATGATAATAGCTGTAGTGAGCAAGTAGCCGTAGTCATTGGCAGCACATACTATCGAAATAAGTATGCTCAAAAGTGTTCTAGTTGAGCCACAAGTTAAATGTATGGGAGCTCCAAAGGTCAGGACCTGAGGACATTGATGGGGATATTTAGCTCTTTTAATGTGGTCGAGAAGAAAAACACAAAGGTAAAAAAAAAATTAAGACGTATTCATTACATATAGAGAACTCACCTGTGTAAGAACAATGGGCAACTCGGTACACTTTGTCTCGGACATGTTATCAATAACATCGCTAGCTTTCGCATCTTCAGTCACAATGCCGTTCCACACCAAAAACTTTTCGTTGCACTGAGTGTCTTCTAGTTCCTTTTCCTCTGCTATCCTTGTTACCAGGATTACTTGCGTGGACAGTGGGGAAAAATTCCTTCCGATGGATTTGCATTGTACCTTGCTGAATTGCTTATCTTGGTGCATACTCTGAAACCGATGTACTGATCTGTAATATTGACTATCTTAGTTGACGACAAGACTCTCTGGTTTGGCAACAGGGGAAAGCTGAGGTCGGAAGGATCAAACTGAACCAACTCGTTTGAGCTTGTCTGCAAAATGGAACATATATAGCTGTGGATTAGTTGGTGCAGCCTGAGAAACATGAAGACAGAGAACGTTTAGTATTTGGTTCATCCAACACTCGCATCTCAGCGCTCAAAACGTTTTGAAGTGGTCTCGACGGGTGCATATCTTGTCTAGTTTTAACAGTTGAGAGTGTCTAGTTTAGGTGTTTGAGGGATGTGCTGGTTAAATTTAAGCCATTATATATGTTCAAAATATGAAATTCAGGAAAAGTATGGGGAAAATCTGGTGCAATTTACTCTTTAAGAAACATAAAATGTTCCTTGGAAATATAAAATCTGGTGCACTTGTAAAAAGTCTCGTTCCTTGGAAATTTAGAAGAAATGGCAGTAGCTTGAAACCAACGCTGCAAGAGTAGCCGTTAACGAATATTTTAATATGAGCTTTCATTGAGTCGCAAAAGGTACAGCACTGACTAACACCTTTTTTTCAGGTGGCATGGTTTAGATCTTATTTTCAAGATGGTGGGGAGCGCAAAAGAGTAAATCAAATTCATTTAAAACCCATGCATGCATTATGAAATTATGAAGCTTAATTACCTCCCTAAAAACTATGGGCAACTCCTTTCTCTCATTTTCGGGCATATATCCTATGAGGTCGCCGACGTTGACATCTTGAGCCACAAAGCAGCTCCACACAAAGTATTTATCTTTGCACCGTATGTCTTCCAGTTGAGGTGCATCTTCCTTGGCGACCCTTGTTACCACCAGTTCTTGTGTTGACCGTGGTGGCAGGATTCCACACGGTGGTTCCATGATGTACAAGGCCACATTTGTTTCCTCCACTTGTGTATTGAAACCAATGTGATAATCTGTAATGTTGACTATCTTAATTGAAGAGAACAAACGTTTGGTCGGCAGGAAGGGGAAGCAGACTTGAGAGGGTTCAAACTTGATCAGCACAAGTGATGTTGGTGAAGTTACCTGCAGATCAGGAAAGGAGAAGAGTCACAAAGCAGCTCTGGATCGGAGTAATAGTAATGCGTTCTGTAGTCAGGGAACTTACCTTATCAAAAATTAAGGGCAACTCGATACTCTGTTGTATGTTGCAAGACATGGAACAATTCAGGTCGCTGACTTTGATGCCGTCACTGACAATGGCATTCCAGATAAAGAGCTCCTTTTCTTCTGGTTGCTTGTCATTTATTATTAGCCTTGCTAGGACGAGTCTTTGAGCAGACCGTGGTGCCAAAATTCCGAATTTACTAAGTGTATGGTAGGACACGGCCGAATCCGGCCACCATAATATACGAAAACCAACGTAGTAATCGGTGATGTTGACAATCTTAATGGAGGACAAGCCTGTGTGGTTTCGCGGAAAGACGAGCCGTGCAGGATGGTGCAGTCGGATCGGCAGCTCGTCTCCGGGCTTAATAAATAGACGAAGACCAACATAGTAATCGGTAACGTTGACCATGTTAACTGAGGACAAGCATGTCTTGTTACGCGGAAACACAAGCCCTGAGGTTGAGGTTGAGGTTGAGGTACTCCTACATGATGATGGGCTGCTTATCTGCAAAAACAAAATGAGAAGGACACATGCATGCCTGAGGATGCCTCTCGCGCAGTCGGATGCAAAGCTCAACCAGCTAATCTAATCTAATCTAATCTAATCAGATGACGGGGGTGGGAGTGGGACTGACCAATTACGATGCCATGCATGTCAAACCAGATGCCGCATAACCCAAATCCACCTCATTATCCCAGATACTAAGCTCCTTTATCGGAGAGGCAAAAGTTCTACTCCAGTAAAAAGAAAAAGAAAAAGAGTACAAATAATGCATTGCTTAATTAATTAGGGAACTCACATTATTATTGTTGAAAATGATGGGCAGCTCCTTACTGTCTTCATCACTGAGTTGACCCATCAAGCAGCTGGATTCGACACCTTGAGCCACAATCATGTTCCACACGAATATGCTTTTTTGGCACTGCATGTTCTCCTCTGCTTCATTTTCCTTGGGTACCCATTGTACAACCATTCTTTGAGTGGACCGTGGTGCCAGAATCCCTCGACGTGGCTCTATCTCCCAAATACTGAAGCTCCAAATATTGAAACCAACGTAGCAATCTGTAATGTTGACTATATTAAAGGAGGAGAGTGAAGTCTTGTTCAGGCAAGCAGGAAAGCCTAGCTCCGGTGGATCAAACTGGATCAGTTCAGTGGAGGTAGTACAAGAGTCTTTTATCTACAAAAAATGAAGGCAATTAATCCTGATTAGGTGGACTAGCGCATATGCCCGTGCGTTACAACGGGAGATATTTATTACGAGAAGCAACAGGAGAGAAATGATGTGTCCTCCAAAAATAGTCTCTCTAGCGGTGGCCGACAGAGCTAGGAGCTGCGATCTTCTCGTGAGTCATGTTTGGCCGACGAGATCTTGATAGTGGAGGGGTTGGTCTATGTCTCCTATCACGGCGTAACCAAATGTATTATTAATTGCAGCGCATAAATCAAAGACTCGACAACATGCTGCTAGCTAGTTGAACAAACACGTTCTATTGACCAATGGCAAGCGCGGATATGTAATAACATAATGCAACATCAGATTTGAAACATATTTTAAATTTTTTCAAACCTATCATAAAAAATAAGAATGAATTTGCGTATATTCTTTGAAACATGACCATTTTTTGAAATTTCAAACAGTTTTTGAAAATTCTGAATATTCCCATAAGACATGAGCAAAATTTTAAGTTGGAATATATTTTCTTAAATTCACAAAAAAAATCTGAAAACATGAACCTTTTATAATAAACTGAACATTTTTTGAATTAGTGAACAATTTTTTAAATGGTAACATGTTTTGAACATTCAGAAATTTTTTGAAAATGTTTTTTCAATTAAGAAAATTATTTTAATTTCGTAATCATTCCACAAAAAAACATTTTCAAATTTGAAACATCTTTCTAAATGCAATAGGAAACATAGGAATTGTGAATAATTGCATAAAATATAAACATTATTTGAAAAATGGGGAACTTTTGTTTTATTGTGAACAAATTTCAGAACAAAAACAAAGTTCTGAACTTTTATAAAACAATTGTTTTTTTAGACATTCGAATATTTATCGTAAACTTGAACCAAAAATTGAAATTCTGAGGTTTTTTGAAAATTTCGTATTTATTAGAAAAGAAAAAAACGAAATTGAACTTGGAAGGTTAAAACGTAAAATTAATTAGGAAAGAAAAAGAGAAAGAAAGAGAAAAAAGACGGAATACAGGATAAAAAGAAAATGGGCCGGCCCAGTATTAGGCGACTTGTGCAAAACTTGCCGTATTTGACGCTCTGTGCGGTAAATAGGGTGCTGCCAGCTGTGTGTGCCTTGCTGCACTGGGCCTCAACGCGCGGCCCAGGTATGAAATCTGTACAACCCATTTTTCTTTTTGAACAAACACGTTCTGTTGACCAATGGCAATCACTGATATTTAAGAACATAATGCAGCATCAGATTTGAAACATATTTTTTTTCAAACTTATCATAGAAAATAAGAATGAATTTGCGTATATTATTTGAAATATGAACATTTTTTGAAAATTCTGAATATTTCCTAAAGACATGAGAAAAATTTTAAATTATAATATTTCTTTAAATTCACAAACAAATTCTGAAAATATGAAACTTTTAATAATAACCTGAACATTTTTTGAATTAGTGAACATTTTTCTACATTCAGAACTTTTTTGAAAATGTGTTTTCCATTTAAAAAATTATTTTAATTTGGTAAACATTTAAAAAAAACAACATTTTCAAATATGAAACATTTTACAAAATGCAAAAAGAAACATTGGAAATTGTGAATAATTGCAGGAAAAATATATTTTTTGAAAAATTTGGGACTTTTTTTATTTCGAACAAATTTCAGAAGAAGAAAAAAGTTCTGACTTGTTTTAATACAATTTTTTTAGAATTTGGAATATTGGTCGAAAACTTGAACCAAAAATTGTAATTCTGTGTTTCTTCGAAAATTTCGAATGTATTAGAAAAAACTAAATTAAACTTGGAAGGGTAAAACGTAAAAATAATTAGGAAAGAAAAAGAGAAAGAAAGAAAAAAGACAGAATACAGGATATAACGAAAATGGGCCGGCACAGTGTTGGGCGACCTGTGCGCATCTTTGGGTATTTGACGGTCTGTGCGGTAAATAGGTTCTGTCAGCTGTGTGCGTAGGAAAATAAGTGGCCTTGCTGCACTGGGCCTCAATGCCCGACCCAGGTACGAAATCTGGACAACCAGCTTTTATTTTCTAGCACACGAAAGCACAAAAATTTAGTACCACCTCTGATAAAAGAATTTTTTTTTCATTGATGAACGGATGAAAAAAGCGGAGAAACGCACCTTGCTTTATTAGTAGGTATAGATTGGTCTGACTCATCAGAGAATAAAACAAACAGAGAACCTACATTATTTGTTCATCTCCGGGGTGAATTGGTCAGAGAACATGCATGGGCAGTCCAAATGAGGGAAATGTCACGTGCTGTTAGGTAATCAAGGAAGGGAAGAGATGACATATGTATGTATGTGAATGTGTGCCAACAACAACAACACCCAAGCTAGCTATCTAAGAGAAT